CTGGGAGGAAAGGGGGGGGTAACCCCCTCCCGTATACATTACTAAAGGTAAAAAGATATCTTTTTTCTTTTTTTGGGGCCCCCGCCTTTGGGGGGTGCAGCTTGTTTGTCGAAAGGGGAAAAAAAAGATAAATACTTTACATTTCTTTTTTTTCTGGGTTTACCCCGCCCCCGGTGGGCACGGCCAGTGTTTTAAAAAAGAAAAATGTAGGGCTGGGAAAAATTTTTGATGTTTAAGTACTTTTCCCGTAGTTTCATAATAACCCCCCACAAAAAAAAAGGGGAAGGGGGGGGTGAAAAACCTATTTTCAATAGGGTCCACTTTTACGGAGATTTTGGTTTTTTTTTTTTGGTACCACCCGAAAGCAGGATGCCATTTTTTCTACCCATAAATTTTATATAAAGCCAGGTAAGTTTACACTAACCCTATTTTAAATTAAAACAATAGAATTTTGGATTAAAATAATAAAAAGTTAAAAAACAAAACAGTTTCACTCATTACTTTTCCTTTTTTCTATTTGTATCCCAAAAACAGGGTGGAGGCGGGGTTGTTTTTTTATTATTTAAAAAGTCAGGCGTGGGAGGGTTTGGGAGCCAGCGAGCCCCCCCCCACCCAAAATGGAATTTACATGTACTATGACATTTAAGGGTTTTCCAGAAAATGATGGGGAAAGCTTTTCAGTTCAAATCATTACTTTAAAATATTTTTAGTCTTAATGTAGGGTGGGGAGGGATTAAAAAAACAATTTAAACCAATTAAAAAAAACGAGAGAGAGAGGAGGAGAGAGAGAGAGAGAACGAGGGAAATGTGAGAGGACAGAGACGCCAGAATATGTAAAAGCGAATGCATTTGGTTTTGGTTCATTGTGTTTGTTTTTTTCCCTAATTCAAACACTTTACATTGTGTACAAAATTGTCTCCACTTGGTACAGTAGAAAAAAAAAAAGCACCTCCATTTTTCTGTAACACCATTTTTTGAAGAAATGTTTCTTTTGAGTTTAAGGCAGAGAAAGGAAAAATTTTCTCAGTTACCCCCCAGTAAAATTGTTTTACACATTTTCTTTGGTGTTTAACTATAAAAAAGTTTTTCTTTTGACGTCGACAAGATTTTCCCTTTAAATTTTTTTTGGGATGTATTTTCATGTTTTTATGTTACCCTAGCATTTTTATTTTATAACTTTGAAAAATATCATAGATGGTTTTAAAGAAAAAAAATATGTGAAAGTGGGGTTTTGGTAATTGGGTTTTTGCATTTTTTGGGGAAAAGGTGTAGAAGAGAGACAGGGTTTTTGGGGAAATTTTTGAGGGTGCATGGGGGGTTTTTAACCTATTGGAGTACTTGTGGTTGGGAAACTCATTGGGTAAAAATGGGAAAAATTTTTGTGGAGGGAGAGTAGGGGAAAAATTTGGGGGGGCCCGGGGTAAATGAAAATGGGGCCTTTAATTGAGCGATGTGTAGAAAAAGGTTTGGTAATAAGTAAAACAATTTTTTGGGAAAAAAAGGTTTAAAAAGCATACAAGGGTTTTATATAGTGCATAAAGAAAGGGAGTTTTTTAGATTATGTTTTTGGTGGATAAAAAGGGGGGGTGGGGAGGCTTCAGGTTTTAAAAATTTATAGAGGGGCAAATGTTTTATTGGATCACCCCTTTAGTCGTAGCTACACCTTTTAGTAAGGGTTTGATGGGACAAAAGGAAAAAAAGGAACAGAAGTAGAGAGGGAAAGTGCATAAACTAAGGGGGAGAAAAATTTAGGGTGAGATATAAGCAACTATTGCCAAAAAGGTGAGCTAGTAGAGCAAGATAAACAAGTTAAGAAAACCAGGGAACGAATGGATTTGTCAGTTAAAAACAGAGTAGGGGGGTTAGTAGATGGTGGGAATATTTTGAGGAACTTTTAAATGTCAATGAAGAAAGGGAGGCAAAAATTTCATGCACTGGCCAGGGAAGTATAACATCTTTTAGGAGTGAAGAGGAGCAGGATGTGAGTGTGGGGGAGGTGCGTGAGGCATTATGTAGACAAAGGGGGTAAAGCAGCTGGAACTGATGGGATTATGACAGAAATGTTAAAAGCAGGGGGGATTATAGTGTGTAAGTAGTTGGTATTTTTGTTTAATTTATGTATGAAAGGGGGGAAGGTACCTAGGGACTGGCAGAGAGCATGTATAATTCCTTTATATACAGGGAAGGAGGACAAGAGATTGTAAAAATTATAGGGTAGTAAGTTTACTAAGTATACCAGGAAGTGTATGGTAGGGTTATTACTGAGAGAATTAGAGGTAAGAGAGTAGGATTGCAGATGAACAAGGAGGCTTTAGAGTGGGTAGGGGATGTGTAGATCAAGTGTTTACATTGAAACATATATAAAGGTATGGAAGTTTTCATTGCATTTATGGATTTAGAAAAGGCATATGATAGAGTGGACAGGGGAGCAATGTGGCAGATGTTGCAAGTGTATGGAATACACTTGCAACATCTGCCACATATGCTTCTAAACCGTTGTATCTGGGCACCTCTGCAAAGACAGTGATTATGTATGAGTGAGGTGAAAGTATTGAATGATGATGAAAGTATTTTCTTTCTGGGGATTTTCTTTCTTTTTGGATCACCCTGCCTCAGTGGGAGACAGCTGTTAAAAAAAAAAGTGTATATTAACATAATATACAACATTTAAAGTGCCTCAGTGATTATTACAGAGTATTATTATTATTACGTATTCAGATATTTGGGAGTGGACGTGTCAGCGGATGGGTCTATGAAAGATGAGGTGAATCATAGAATTGATGAGGGAAAAAGAGTGAGTGGTGCACTTAGGAGTCTGTGGAGACAAAGAACTTTGTCCTTGGAGGCAAAGAGGGGAATGTATGAGAGTATAGTTTTACCAACGCTCTTATATGGGTGTGAAGCGTGGGTGATGAATGTTGCAGCGAGGAGAAGGCTGGAGGCAGTGGAGATGTCATGTCTGAGGGCAATGTGTGGTGTGAATATAATGCAGAGAATTCGTAGTTTGGAAGTTAGGAGGAGGTGCGGGATTACCAAAACTGTTGTCCAGAGGGCTGAGGAAGGGTTGTTGAGGTGGTTCGGACATGTAGAGAGAATGGAGCGAAACAGAATGACTTCAAGAGTGTATCAGTCTGTAGTGGAAGGAAGGCGGGGTAGGGGGCGGCCTAGGAAGGGTTGGAGGGAGGGGGTAAAGGAGGTTTTGTGTGCGAGGGGCTTGGACTTCCAGCAGGCATGCGTGAGCGTGTTTGATAGGAGTGAATGGAGACAAATGGTTTTTAATACTTGACGTGCTGTTGGAGTGTGAGCAAAGTAACATTTATGAAGGGATTCAGGGAAACCGGCAGGCCGGACTTGAGTCCTGGAGATGGGAAGTACAGTGCCTGCACTCTGAAGGAGGGGTGTTAATGTTGCAGTTTAAAAACTGTAGTGTAAAGCACCCTTCTGGCAAGACAGTGATGGAGTGAATGATGGTGAAAGTTTTTCTTTTTCGGGCCACCCTGCCTTGGTGGGAATCGGCCGGTGTGATAATAAATAAATAAATATAAATAATTATTAATTTGGCATCCTCGAGACATATGACACACTTAGTAATTTTAATGTGTATCTGCACGCCAACACAGTGTGTAAGTTTACTTAGGTACAGGTACACACAAGTTTCCAGACATAATGGAGAGACATGGAGCTCACAGAGAATGTAAACAAATTGGGCGAGGCGGGGTCACAGTATTAGGGTGAGGGGAGCTGTATAGGGAGTTTTAGTCATACGTAATTTGAAATGTCTGTATTAGCGGAATGCCATAAAGCGGGGCCCTACTGTATTCCTTCTTCCTATGTATGCTCTTTCTCCTCTGGTTAGTGTTGATGAACACAAGAACGGTGATCTGTGTTGTACACAGCTATGCCATGTATATTTCTTGGAAAGTGACTCCTTATCCCAAAGAGGGCCACCTATCTCACCTGAGCATAAGCCTCTCAACTCCACCAGTGATAAGACCCATCATTGGAAAAAAATTATGTTTAGAGGGATGGAAGTTTTAAGGTTTTTCTAACATTGTTGCCACTGAAAAATGGAATTTTTAGGAGGATAAACTATCAGAGCTATGGAGAGGTAGAAGTTTGCTTCAATGAGCTCAGTAATTCATAAATACTCAGTAAAAAAAAACTATCCTTCATTACCAAATTCAGAGACTTTGTGGATTCTGTCCTATATTTCTAAAGTTTGTTAAATCAAAAACAATTTAATTTGGTAAAGAAAACCTTCAACTTAAATGTATTTAGGCTTTCATTTTTTTTTTTTTTTAACACCCCAGCTGTCTACCACCGAAGCAGGGTGACCCAAAAAGGAAAAACACTTTCACCATCATTCAACACTTTCATTACATTAACTTGAAATGTAAAAACTATCTTCAGTGAGAAGATAACTTTCTCCAGCTGGATTTACTAGTGAAATTTACATCTTACAATATTTTTACTATACAGCATTGATTCCTTGAGGTGGGAAGTACTGTACAGTGTCTACTCTGGTAAAATGGTAAGGATACAACAGTGTGGAGGCTCATTTCAGTTGAGATGTCTGTGCACTTCTGGCACAGCAGCTGTTAAATGAAGGGGAAAACCAGTGTGTTTTTTTTCCTTTCTTCAGGTCACCCTACCTTGCTGTGAGATAGATGGTGTGGTGTGAATAAAAAACGTAAGGGTTTTTAATAGGCAATTTTTCTATTAAATCCTGTAGAAAAATTTTCTTCACTACTCCTTCATTACCAGGGTAAAAACTATGAAATGAACAAGACGACGATATCCAGGATAGTATATAAAATATAGTCCTAGTATATAAAATATAATCCTTTGGGTGATCCAGTGCTGAACTCTGCTTTAAAATTTTATAGAACACTTTTTTGAATGCAGATTTTTTTTTTTTCCCAACAAGATATTTCAACAAATATTAAATATTTTAACATAAAATGCTCATTCAGATCTACAAAGCAGATCAATGCCTGTACAGGTAATGTAGGTTTTCCTTTATTTTTTTTTAGCCTAGGACAAATTTTTAAGTCACCAGATATTTCTGATATGACTAAAAATGAAGTATTCAACACTGTTTTCAGAGTGGTCTTGTTATAGCCTGCAAAAAGTTTTAACGTTTTTTTTAATCCACATGATAAATGATAAAATTACACATTAGCAACAAAAAGTAAAGTTGAAAACTACATACCCATTAACAGCATCTAGTAGAGTTCCGAATTTATGATACCGATTTGCAAGAACTGATCCATTAGAGAAGAAATATCCCCTGTTGATCCTCATGACAGAGTCAAGAATATTTTTTGCATGGGCATGCAATTTGAGACGCTGTCTTAGTTCATGGCATATGTAGAATTCCCAAGGACTAGCTGGTTTCTGCACCTTCAGAATAACCTAATCAAAAAAGAAGAATTTGATACATAACTTCAAACTCGTGTAGTTCAAAATAGGGGCGGATATCACATGCCCTGCAATGGAAAATTCACTAGGTGATTAAAGACAGATTAAGAGTTGAAGAATTAGACAATTCACCATCCAGTGGCGAAATTTGCATTGATAACGCCACTGGATGGCAAGTCTACAAATAAAGATGCCCAGGTATTGCACATGTCTAATTCTTCATCTTGTTGGCACTGTACACCATTTATGTATAGATTAAGAGTTAGTCCTATTTCTTTTCATATGATCTGGAACAAATCAGAGGTAACATGCACACAAGGAGATCATTAGTCGCAGGGAAGCATTAAAGCCACAGAAATCATTCAGAACCTAGGGGATGGGAGGCAACTGGATTCAATTCAAGCGAGGGAAAGGAGAGCTTCAATTTCCTAGATCAAGCACCCATCACCAACAAGGACAAGGAGAGAAATTGATATTTTTTTTTTTTAACACATCGGCCATCTTCCACAGAGGCAGGGTGACCCATAAAAGAAAAATACTTTCACCATCATTCACATATAATCAAGTCTTAGCAGAGGCACTCAGATAAAACAGATATCATTCTAAACAGCCAATATCCCAAACCCCTCCTTTAAGTGCAAGCATTGTACTTCCCATCTCCAGAACTCAAAGTCTGGCTAACCAGTTTCCCTGTACCTCTACAAAATATTACCTTGCTCACACTCCAACAGCTCATCAGGTCCCAAAAACCATTCAATCCTATCTAACATGCTCAAACATGCCTACTGTATTTCCAAAATCTCTTACCCCTCCCTCCATCCTTTCCTAGGACAACCCTTATCCTTCCTTCACTCTATTACAGATTTATACACCAAGTCATCCTCTTTAGCTCAATCCTCTCTAAATGACCAATTGGAAATTATATGGCTAAATAAGAATGATAAATAAGTAGAATTAAGTGAACAATGACAGTGGAACATGTCCACAAATAAGACAACTAGGATATTTCTGACCTTCCTAGCAAAGTGAAATGGGTAATTATAAACAATATTGCCAACGCATTTTAAAATAACATGTAGTAAAGAAAAACATATTGAAATATTTTAAATTAACCACTTTTCTATACCTTCTGGAAACTAATAAAAGGAAATTTTATTAATACGTATATGCTTCTAAACTGTTGTGTTCTGAGCACCTCTGCAAAAACAGTGATTATGTGTGAGTGAGGTGAAAGTGTTGATCGATGATGAAAGTATTTTCTTTTTGGGGATTTTCTTTCTTTTTGGGTCACTCTGCCTCGGTGGGAGACGGCCGACTTGTTAATAAAAAAAAAAATAAAAAAATACTACTTAAGAAAAGAGCATACCATTATGCACAGAAATTACCTATGCATTCTCTGCATACCTGCACTTCTTCATCTTCCTCATCATCATCAGTGGCTAACATTGTGACATTTAATGGATCCAATGTTGATGCCTGGAACACTCTTGCATAAGCTCCCTCACCTCTGATACGCCGAACATGGAACATCTCACTTCCCAAAGTAACCTAGAGAACATAAATCTAATATTTTACAACATAATGTAGAACACAACATTTTTTACTTACTATTAAGTTCTGGACAGCTGCTTTTTCAGAAGCAAGTGATCTTTAAGAATATCAACTTGTATTAACCCTTTGACTGTTGCAAGCCCCTTTCCAAAACTCATTCTATGTTGCAAAATTTTTGGAAAAAACAAAAAATTCTTGTGAAATGATAGAGAATCTTTTCCAAATGGTAATGACACCAAAAGTACGAAATTGGGTCGAAAACTCACAGAATTATGCTCCCACGAAGTTAGCGGCCTCGGGGACATATATGCATCGGCGATTTCGTTGACTGAGCCCTGTTTTCGGCCAATTCCATTGTTCCAGTTGACCAAACTCGTAGCTATTTCTCCATTTTTTTCTATCAGTTGAGTACAAGAAACCGTCCATTTACCGATTTGAACTACCCAATAAAGTGGTCAGAAATTGGCAATTTGGCCAATTTCACGTAAATTAAAAAAGATGCCAATTTCAAAATAGGGTCCAGAATAAACAATGTAGACATTCTTGACACTAAAATAACATATCCTCCGTTCATTAGTTATGTCTCTAGGCCCCTCCTCTATTACTATTGCTTTCCATTTTGATTTTTTACTCGTACAAAAAATACAAAATTTACTGTTATGCAGACTACTGCATTGTTGTAAAAATGGTATAAATAATATCAGTGCACTAGTGAAAGAATGTTAGACTCCTCAGTTGACGTGTATTGGATGTGTGGTGTGATTTGCTCACTCATGAACATTGGTAAAAATCGAACATTTCCGCTACTTTGAGCTCAATTTCAAGGTCGTTTTCATTGTGAAACTAATCAAAATCATCTATATTTCTGTAATATGTTTTCCATTTTATCATGCAAGACCATGAAAACGAGAATACAATGATAAATACTATACAAAAATACACCTCCAAGTAGGAGTTTTAATTAAAAAAATAAAAAGCGGTCAGTTTTTTTTTCTCATTACACACTGCGTGCTGCAGGATTTTTTTTTTTTATGTGGTGCACACTGACCACACAGACCCATTCTCTCACATGTGGGCCTACCAGTTTTCTCCTGCTTGATTTGAAGCCGCTAGAATTTATGCGTATTAATATGTCCGAAACACTGGCTCATAAGACGTATATATATATATATATGACCAAAACAGTCAAAGGGTTAAGGCCCAAATAAAAAATCACCTCATCACCCAAAATTAACCAGACAAACCTTATCGTACCACTACCAGTTTCTTAACAGCTACTCATATTGTGCTGATGAATGCTCATCCACTTACTACTTCCAAATTAGGATGCCCATTCTTTTCACCATTTTAAATAGTATTAGATTGTAATACAGTACATCATACTGTAAATTGTTCTACTGTAATACTAAATTTCATTGTTTTAAATTGTTACATTGTAATACTGTAATCTTCATTAACTAATTCAATTGTGTAAAAAGTCTCTACTAGACTTGTCAAAACCATGTAGCATCACCTAATATAATATTAAATTCTCCTGTACTCACTAACTCGTCTAATGACCATATGAACTATGTATTATTGCCTTATTATTCTTAAGTTAATCTTTAAGTCTACCCAAAATGCTTTTGGCATGTACACCCAACTATACTATATTCCTCTGTACAACCATGTAATTTGTCAAAATAAAAAATCTAAATTTAAAACTAGGAAGAGACTGAATTAGTGAAGACTTGGCATGTAAACTTAACCCAATGTTAAAAAAAAAAAAAAAAATGCATTAACCCTTTGACTGTCGCGGCCGTATATATACGTTTTACGAGGTGCCGTGTTTGACGTATATATACTCAAATTCTAGCGGCTTCAAATCAAGCAGGAGAAAGCTGGTAGGCCCACATGTGAGAGAATGGGTCTGTGTGGTCAGTGTGCACCATATAAAAAAAATCCTGGAGCACGCAGTGCATAATGAGAAAAAAAAAACTCCGACCATTTTTTTTAATTAAAATGCCGACTTTGTGGTCTATTTTCGTATAGTATTTATGGTTGTATTCTCGTTTTCTTGGTCTCATTTGATAGAATGGAAAACATATTACAGAAATAGAGGTGTTTTTGATTGATTTTACTATAAAAAGAACCTAGAAATGGAGCTCAAAGTAGGGGAAATGTTTGATTTTTGCCAATGTTCAAAAGTAAACAAATGATGCCATTGTCCAATAAATGTCCAACTAGCCATTCTAATATGCAGTCATGAATGGGTTGATGTTATTTATACAATTATTACAGCATTGCAGTAGTCTGCATAATAGTAAGTCTAATATTTTTTGTTTGAATAAAAATTCAAAATAGAAAGCAAGAGTAATATCAGAGGGGCCTGGAGACGTGACTGATGAACAAAGAAAACGTTATTTTAGAGCCTGGAATGTCTGCATTGTTCATTCTGGACCTTATTTTGAAATTGTCATATTTTTTAGTTTTCGTGAAATTGGCCAAACTGGAAATTTCTGACCACATTATTAGGTAGTTGAAATCAGTAAATGGGCAGTTTCTTGTACTCAATCGATAGAAAAAATGAAGTTCTAAAGAAATAGCTATGAGTTTGGGCGACTGGAACAATGGAATTAGCCGAAAATAGGGCTCAAAGTGGGCGAAATCGCCGATTTGTAAACAGCCCGAGGTCGCTAACTTCGCGAGAGCATAATTCCGTCAGTTTTCCATCAAATTTCGTTTTTTTTGGTGTCATTACAATCGGGAAAAGATTCTCTATCATTTCATAAGAAAATATAATTTTTTTTTTTTTTAAATTTTGCGACACCAGGAGACACCTCAGGATTGGGGGTTGCGACAGTCAAAGGGTTAAATGATAAAATTTACATCAAGGCTGTATCTATTACCTTACCTGAATATTGGGTTTGATGAGAGGCAGAGCACCTGGGAGGCCAACAAACCCACCACGTGCTTCAACTGGTTCTCTCAAACTTGAAAGAATACTTTGTAATACTTCTTCAGCAAAGGGATTTATTTGATCTCGGAGACTAGGTTTACCACTCTGAAAGTAGATTTGCTATATTAACATTGGTTTGCATATTCAGTAAGATACAGTACATTTTGAAAAAATGAACATATCAATATATCGTGAGTGTCATACATCCACTTTGATCTCTGCTTCACAAAAATTATCTTCATTGTTTGTTTTCAGAACAATATGGGTAAAAAAATTGCCAAAATTGTAATCTTGCTTCTACAACAGACTTATTTTTTTAGACTGTAGCATTTCAAGTTTTAAGAGGGAGCATTACACCAAGTAATCACAGTTAATGTTTTCTTATGAATTCAATTTTTCCACTCTAGATGGACCAGAGATTATAAAGGATATGCTAGGATAATAGAACAGGGAAAAAAATTAATGAAGCCATTTCTCCTTATGCATTAGTCGAGTTCTAACGATACTACGAAGTTGAGATTACTTTGTTAATGATGCCAATTACAGGAAATAATTTTGATCAATATCTTCAGCATGAGAAGGAGGATTTTTAAGACACACAAAGTTTATACTACTGGATAAATATACATACTCTTCATATGATTATACAAAGTATTATCATATATGATTATACAAAGTATTATCATATATGATTATACAAAGTATTATCATATATGATTATACAAAGTATTATCATATATGATTATACAAGGTATTATCATATAAATTGTTGTACCAAACTAGCCATATCACAACCCTCAAAAGATGGTTCATGTTAACACTGGTTACGAATTCAAGCATTGTAATGCTGTAAAAAATATTAAAATGTTAGATATTCCAAACTATAAACCTATATGGGCCACAGTGCTTGAGGAATGAGAAGTAATCAAGTTGGAGCCAAAGGGATGGGTAACTCCAATTCTTTGGAACAAGAGCCCTTCACCAGCATCAAGGCACTGTGCTTCCCTTGAAAGGAAAATGTATAAACACAAAGTTTAGGTAAAGCCAGTTGTATGAGCAGCTACAATTAGGTACACCATAAAATTTCTGGATAGAAGATTTCCCAATAGACCCTTGTTTTCCTGAAAAGACAGGAATGAAATGGTTACTCTTACCTCAGTAACTGTTCTTATTTATTAAACATTTTTCTAATGTATAAAAATATTATGGTACAGAATTTGTTTTTTTTATTTCTATGGCTGTTTCAGAGTGACCAAAGGACAAACATTTGCCATTATTCATTCAATTGCTGTCTTGTTAGATAACCCTACAACTGCAACTGCAACAGCTCCACCCCTTCGTAAGAGTGCAGGCACTGTTCTTCCTATCCCCGGTATTCAAGTCCAGCAAATTGGTTTCCCCGAAATCCTTTCAGGCTCGCACCCCAACACCACGCCCATTAAAAACCATCTCTCTCCTTTCAGACCCTTAGCTTCAAATTATAGACCCTTATAGATCAACAGCTACAATGGCAGCATCAAGAGTAGCATCAGCTGCAACAGCAGCTACAGCAGCAGCAGCTACAGCAGCGCTACCTCAGCAGAAACAGCAGAGCTACAGCAGCTAGAGCAGCAGCAGCACGCCTACAGCACTACAGCACGCAGCTACAGACAGCACTACAGCACAGCACAGCAGCTACCAGCACAGCAGCACAGCAGCGCAGCTACAGCAGCGCAGCTACAGCACAGCAGCTACAGCAGCACAGCTACAGCAGCACTACACCGCTAAGCACAGCACAGCAGCTACAGCAGCAACACACCACTACACAGCAACGCAGCGCACTACAGCAAAAAACAGCAGCCTACAGCTACGCAGCAGCTACAGCACAGAAAAGTACAGCGCAGAGCACAGAGCTACAGCACTAGGCGCACAGCTACCCGCAGCTAGAGCAGCAGCAGCTACGACTAGAGCAGCATTTTCAGCTACAGCAGTAGAGCAGCATTACAGCTCAGAGCTAGAGCACATTTACAGCTACAGCAGCTAAGAACAGTTTCAGCTACAGCACTAAGCACTTACAGCTACAGCAGCTAGGCAGCGTTTTAGCTACACACTAGAGCCAGTTACGCTACACAGCAGAGCAGCAGTTTTCAGCTACAGCAGCTAAGCAGCAGTTACAGCTACAGGCTAAGCGCGTTACAGCTACCGAGCAAACTACGCAGCTAGAGCGCAGTTCAGCTACGCCTAAGCAGCAGCTACAGCAGTAGAGCGCAGTTCAGCAGTAGAGCACAGTTTCAGCACAGAGAAGGGAGCGCTACAGTACACACTAGACAGCAGCTCACTACAGCCAAACACACTACAGCAGCAGCTACAGACCCTAGAGCAGCGCAGCTACACAGCAGACACAGCAGCAGCCACAGCAGCAGTACAGTAGCACTACAGCGCAGCTACAAGCAGCAGCTCAGCACAAAGCAGACAGCAGCGCAGCAAAGCAGCGCAACGCAGCAGCGACACAGCACCACAGCAGCACTACAGACTATAGAGCAGCTGCTACAGAGCACCTGAACTTAGAGCAGCACCTCGCCTGCACAGCAGCATGCAGCAGCTGCTACAGCAGCCCTGCAGCAGCTGCAAAAACCACCTGCCACTGCTACAGAGCTATAGCGAGCTGCTACAGCAGCACCTGCAGCGCTGCTACAGCACATAGCACAGCGTCGCAGCTGCTACAGCAGCTATACACAGCTGCTAAGCGCTATAGCGCAGTGTAAGCACTAACAGCACGCTACAGCAGCATAGCAAACAGCGCTACAGCGCTTAGACACTGCACAGCACTAAGCAGCAGCTGCTACAGCAGCTATAGCACAGCGCTAAGCGCTATAGCAGCAGCTTTTCTACAGAGCTAAGCAGCGTGCACAGCGCTAAGCAGCGTCTACAGCACTATAGCAGCAGCTGCTACAGAGCATACAGCACCTGCACAGACACCTGCTACAGCGCACCTGCTACGCGCACCCGCAAAACAGCACATGCTTCGCAATATCAGCACCTGCACAGCACTAAGCAGCAGCGCACACAGCATCTGCTACAGCACTATAGAAGCAGCGTACAGCAGCACCTGCTACAGCAGCTATAGCAGCACCTGCTACAGCAGCTATAGCAGCAGCTGCTACAGCAGCACCTGCTACAGCAGCTATAGCAGCAGCTGCTACAGCAGCACCTGCTACAGCAGCTATAGCAGCAGCTGCTACAGCAGCACCTGCTTCAGCAGCTATAGCAGCAGCGCTACAGCAGCCCGCTACACAGAAAAGCACGCTGCTACAGCGCCCTGCACAGCACATAGCAGCGCTGCTACAGCAGCTATAGCACAGCTGCACAGCAGCACCTGCTACACACTATTCGCATGTCGCAGCTATAGCGCACTGCACAGCACTATTCAGCACCCGTACAGCGCTAAAGAGCACTGCTACAGCAACCTGCTACAGCATATAGCAGGCTGCTACAGCACACCCTGCTACAGCAGCTTACGCACTGAAAGCAGCTAAGACAGCTTTACGCAGCATAGCAGCAGCTGCTACAGCAGCTATAGCAGCAGCTGCTACAGCACTATAGCAGCAGCTGCTACAAGCACGCTCAGCACTATGCAGCAGCTGCTACAGCAGCACCGCTACAGAGCTAACAGCACTGTACAGCAGCACCCTACAGCAGCTTAAACACAGCTGCTACAGCAGCACCGCTACAGCAGCTATAGAGCATTACAGCAGCACCTGCACAGAACATACCACAGCTGTACAGCAGCCCTGCAGCGCTGCTACAGCAGCACCCGCAGCAGGGCTAAGCCACCTGCGCACTCTACAGCGCACCTGCAGGATGCTACAGCGCACCTGCAGCAGTGCTACAAAGCAGTAACAGCGCTGCTCAGCATGCTACAGCATATACAGCAGCGCACAGCAGCTTTTGCAGCACTGCTACAGCAGCTAAGCCACGCTCAGCAGCAAGCAGCAGCTGCACGCAGCTATAGCAGCAGTCACCGCACTACACCAGCTATAGCAGCAGCTGCTACAGCAAGCACAGCACAGCTACACAGCACTATAGCACAGCTGTACAGCGCTTGCAGCAGCGCTCGCACTATGCAGCAGCGCACAGCAGCTTAGCAGCAGCTCACAGCAGCTATAGCAGCAGCTGCTCAGCAGCATAGCGCAGCTCTACAGCAGCTATAGCAGCAGTTTCTACAGCAGCATACAGCAGCGCTACAGCACACCTGCACGCAGCACCCGCACCGCACATGCTACAGCAGCTAAGCAGCACCTGCACACAGCTATAGCAGCGCGCTACAGCACACCTGTACGCGCATGCAGCAGCTGCTACAGCAGCACCTGCAAAACAGCTATGCAGCAGCTGCTACAACTATGCAGCAGCTGTACAGCAGCACCCCTACAGCGCTATAGCAGCGCCCTCTACAGCAGCTTTAAACAGCAGCGCCTACGCAGCACCCTACAGCAGCTATGCAGCACCTGCTACAGCAGCACCTGCTACAGCACTAAGCAGCACCTGCTACAGCACTAAGCCACCGTACAGCGCTTAGCACACTACGCACACCTGCTACAGCAGCATAGGGGCCCGCTGCTACAGCAGCACCTGCTACAGCACTATAGCAGCGTCTACAGCAGCACCTGCTACAGCACTATAGCAGCATCTCCAACAGCACACGCTAGCTATATATTTCTTCTTTTCTAATACTGTATATTCGTTTTTGATGTTTATTGTTATTTGGTTTAACTTTATTACTTACTTATAATAGGTTTACTTTACAACTTTATATACTAAGACAAAGTTAACAATAATCCTCATACCGGGTACCGCATTGTTTTCTTGATTTTCAGAATTCATAACTTTTTTCTGTCACCCCTCCATTACCCCCCAAAAATGGTTAAATTACTCCCAGGGGGTAATTTACCCCCAGTTTGGGAACCACTGACCTAGGGTATAATTGGGGAACCTAGGGTTTATTTTAGGAACCTGTATTACATTTTGACAGCAATGACCTGCGAATGATTTTTATTATTTCTTCTCCGCAATGTTTAAGATTTATCAATGTACAGTGGACCCCCGCATAACGATGGCATCGCATAGCG